CATAGCAGTATGCTTGAAATGATCTTGGCCCCACCCCTTAATAATTGACGAAAATGCAAGAAAAGGCCGTTTTACCGCCGTAAAAGTGGGTGTGGCCAAAATTGCGGCGCGCTTTGCGCGCCCTCAGCACCCCCTTCTCCAGTTCCTAGATACGCCCCTGCAGTTCATCACATGCACAATCCTCATCATCCGAGTCATCATCAACTAGCCATGATATCCACTATCCAGCCACTCCCACAATCAGTTAATTAATACACTTCCATTGCGTGGGTGTTCATAATGTTCTAAAGTTCCAGTTTTTTTATACAAACACTCTAATCAATGATTATAAAGTGATCCTGTCATACATCACTAGTAGTGAATGACATGCTTCCTTTACTGTCTCCTCTTCCTCCTCTCTAGTAGCTCTATCCAGTACCAATGACATTACTACTTATACAGATACACCACATTCCAGTACATTAGCATTGTGAGTACTAAATAGTCTCTCTGATATCCTCATCACTCCTTCTCTCTAATCAATGAGTGAGGCAGAGCAGTACTGCTGTATCATCACGTTTTTGCACATGGTCACTAATATAATAAAACTGAGTAGAGGGTGTGGTGTAAGTGATAGTTAACCTGTTGGAATGTTAGGTGTGGCTTGTTGTTCAGAAGAAGAGGATGTCTGGAAAAAGTTAGTTTATCTCTCCCTACCATCTTCCCTCCTCCTCTGTCTTCATGCTCTCTCTTTCTATTTATTCTTCTGTAGTCATTGTCTTCATTTCTATCATTAATCATTTACTACAGGTTTCAAAATGAGAGCTAATCACAAAGCTCCTGTAATAGGGGAGTCCCTCTACCTGTGGGCAGGGAGCCAGGTTGGCTTACCTGCAGTTCATGACTCCCTTCAAAAGAGGGAACTGACCTCAAGAGTTGATGTGTACCAGCTTTCTACTGCTGACTGGTCCTCTCACCTAACAAGAGGTACTCCTCCATTAGGAGTAACTGGCTACTCCTGTACCACCTCTCATTCTAATATTTACTATTTCGGTGGAGGGTGTGGTCATGATGACTGTTACCACAATACGTTGAATGTACTGAATACGATAAAGATGGAGTGGACTTCATGCAGTAATGCTAAACAGTCGTTGATGAAGAAATGTCGTGCTGGAATGATATCACTGGAATTTAATGGAGCAGAATACCTTGTCATAATAGGAGGGTTTGGTTCTACACCAACTGTTTACCATCCTCAGTTTCAATATGATCAACTTAGTGATGGTGATGTTCGTACTAATGAACAGTTACTTTATAATGTGTCCACTGGTAAGATTAATAAATATATATAGCTTTATAGACCACCCTAGGTCTGAATTGGAAAAGTTATGAATTTCATTAATTTTATATATATGGTATCTGCCCACATATCATAATTGGCTGCCATTTTGGTTGGCAAGTTTATTATGGAAGTCAATGGAGGCACGAAGAAAATGCCTAACTTACCTGCTGTAGCTCTGTCAATAGGTAAAAAGCGCTTGTTATAAGAAAGAACAGCTGCCTTTAAGCTTCTCCTGTCAAGGATTTGGTCAAATTGGTCCAGAATTCTTAATACAGGTTTGTTTTTATGTCGGCCCGTTTGTTCTCCATTGAAAGTTGCCAACCAAAATGGCGGCCAGAATTTATTTCATCCTAAACCACGCCTTACTACCGTAAAAATTTCTAATAATCTTCCTACGCATTCAATTCTCGCCTAGGGTGGTCTATGCATGTACATGTATACATTTATTATCATGAACTAGTATAATACACAATTGTGTCATTATGATAAAATTACATGTACAATTTCATGATAACAGTTACCCAGTATACCACTGTATTCTCTTTACTTTAGGACAATTCACTGTTCCATCTGTCAGTGGACAGTGTTGTCCACCAACTAGTAGTTTCATAATTGAGAAGATTACTACTACCGGTAACAGAGGAGTAATATTTGGGGGACGAGTGACTGTTAATGGTGATGAGAGTACACCTACTAACAGTGTTTACATATTCAGTGTGACACATAGTATAATAGTAAGTTGTATTATATTTTGTTGTATTGTATTGTACAGTAATACATTATCTTAGTATTATCACTAGAGGATACAGTACACATAAAAAAAGCTAAGTAGGGTACAGTAGAGAAGAGAACCTTGAAGGTAGTTCGTAGGTACTTCGCTACTCTTCGCTACTACTTCGCTACTGCTCATTACTCTTTGCTACGTTATGCTGCGATCCCACCCAGTCACATGTACTGTAGTAGAACTTGTAGATGCTTCTTTGGCTGTCTGTGCTCTCTAAGTTCATCTATAATGCCACTCTCTCCTTCTAGAAGCCTGTTTAGGATGTTTTTGCTCGATTCTACTGTCACGCTACTGTCTTCTACTGTCATGCTACTGTCTTCTACTGTCACGCAACTGTCTTCTACTGTTGCGCTACTGTCCTGCTACTGTCGCAGTAAGCATGCGCAGAGAAGGAGCAACGAACTACCTACGCAAAAGTAGAGTAACTGCGGGGTAGCTACTTAGCCTTTTTTAAATATGTACTGTATATTGTGTGGTACTCATATTAACTGTATCTTGTGTATTATTATATTAAATATTCACAAAACTCTGATACTACATAAAATATTTCATAATTAGACAGTGTATAGTCATGCTTAGTATAGTATTTCATATTATCAAGTATATTGTGTACCAATAGATTTGTTATACCTCCAGTACTTGTACATGTATAATACTAAACACAACCACTAACCTCACCTCTTTAACATCAAAGTATTAAATATTAGGATTAATTTTTACATGTCACACCCATTATTTGTATAGCCACACCCATTATTCATATTTACGCTCACTGATATTATTAGTATTTGTTTATGTATCTAGAACTGGGAGATACTGAAACCAGGAGCAATACCTAATGAGGGACTGTGGCCTATGGAGAGAGACTCTCATGCTAGTGCTATTATCAATGGTGACTCTACCTCACCTACACTAGTAGTGATTGGTGGACTGGATAATAATAATCAACTAGTTAATGAATGTTTGTTATTTGATAGTATCACTACTGGTCAGTACAGTTGTAGGAAGGTATGTATGTGTATAGTACTGTAATGATGTGTGTGTGTATAGTTAGGTCAGTTGAGAGTATGACACTAGTACTGATGTATATTGATGATAGATTAGTAATTGTTAGTGTGTTCAGTAGATAACACAATCACTGATGAAACATTAACAATACAATAGAACTACCCACACATTTGATTAAAAATTACACATTATTTTATTTTGTGATCCAACCTTAATGTGTGTTTTTGTACTATTATTCCTATTCTTAATATTGAGAGTTAAATTTGTACATATTTTGTTATTGTTCACATGATGTGAAATAAAATATTTATTTTGTTTGTTGATGGTGGTGAGGATTAGAATTGATTGTAATCATCTACATATGAAATGATACAATTTCTCATTTTATAAGTAGCTGTATAAACATCATGTATCAGTAATTACTTGTATACTTCTCTTTATCTACAGATTCCTCTACCTGAATCTGTTACTGGTAGATACAATCACTCACTCACAGCAGTCACAATGTCACCACACTGTGTGTGGTTAGTAATTGTTGGAGGATTTGAAGAGATTCATTGGAAAGATGTTGGAGGAGGAAAGGAGGAGCCATTACTTTTTTTTATCACTGATACTAATAGACTAATAATGATAATTGAATTAGGTAAGATAATATTAATCAATTGTAAGGATATGAGCATTAAATACATAATTACATTAAATAATGTACCACTCATTTTTATAGTATGTACATTATTTGTAAATTTCAGTTCCTAATATGACGTACATTTTCCATTTATTTTGTATACTGTACACACTACAATACCACTGTATGTGTGGGTGTGTATCAGAGTTGTGTCAATTACATCATCAAAGAGCTTAAGCACAAGCCCAAGCCCTTTATGAAATAGTCAATTACAAGCCCGAGCCCAAGCCCAAAAATATATTTTGGGCTTAATTACAAGCTCAAGCTCTTTATCAAATGTACTTAATTCCTTTACAAGCCTTCCACTAAAATTATGTCTTATGATTATTAAAATTAATCAAGTACATTAGAATTGCACTTAATAAAAACATAAAGGCCGATTCACACTGCAAAATTAACGTGAGGTAAGGCTATACGTTGAGACAGGAAGTGCTGTNTAAACCAATGGCAGCCATTTACATAAGGTAAGAATAGAAATATTTTCTATTCTTACCTTGTATTCTTACTTTACATAAACAGTGGCCATTGGTTTATACAGCACTTCCTGTCTTAACGTATAGCTTTACCTCACGTTAATTTTGCAGTGTGAATTGGCCTTAAGTTGTTCAAATTTGATGTCACTTAAGCGGCATCTCTCTGGGCGATATATCTTGCCTGCTACACTAAATAGCCTCTCTACTGCTGCTATTAGAGGTGATGATTACAGATGAAAAGAACACCTGATGGCCTTTAGGGCTTCAAGCCCAAGCTTAGGAATATACAACTTGTAATTAAGTACAAGCCCAAGCCCTTTTTTTTCAAAAAGGCTTTGAAGCACTTTTAATTACTTTTAAAATTGGGCTTAGCCCAAAAGGGCTTGACACAACTCTGGTGTGTATTTACAACCACTCTAAATGATACCATTAGTTTATAAATTAAATACATTTATTTATAAATATATAATGTATCTTATTGTGTCTCAGTATATAGTGAAGCTGGTGAGTGGATAGTACAGTCAGTACTGGATGGTAATGATCTCACTAGTAAGAGCTATCAAGAAAAGTATCAATCGTACAGCAAGACCAGAACATGGTGGATGGATCAGCTAATAGAAAATCCGACAGAGAGGGAAATGAAGCTTCAGAGATATATACAATCTTTACATGAAGACCTACAAGTGGCTCATGAGAGCAAAGTATCACTACAGGAGGCACTGGTTGACGCCAATAAACAAGGTATATAGGACATTACACACACACACTTTAACTGCACTAACTGATTACTATTATGTAGTATTGTGTGGTTATTGGTAGTGTGAGTGTGTGTATTAGTACTGGTTTACATTATGATACTAGTGGATTAGACAATGTTGAGTATGGAAATAGTATCCTGTACTCAATATAGGTCAAATTGTGGATGCATTAGAAATAATGAGATTCATGTAGAGTGAGCTCTTCTTACCATATATGGTATGATTAGCAATAATGATAGTACATGTATTTATGGGCTACTGTACATGCAGTGCAAATTTGTATAAGCTATAATTATCATTTTATTTTCTGTCTTTGTATATTTATGGGCAATTATAGAAAATTATGAGAAGCTTAAAGCTAAAGTTGCTGATAATGAAGTATATGTAACTGAAATATTGGAAGAGAAAACACAAGTAGAGAAAAAGAAACAGATTATTACTGGTTAGTGTATCATCAGTACATAATATTAGATGGGAGAATATTCTATTAATGTATAGAGGATAATGAGAAACTGAAACTTAAAGTAGCTGATATGGAGGAACAATTTCTCAAGGAGAAACAGATCATTATTGGTTAGTTAACTATACACACAGCAGGTATTAGATGAGAGAATATGTTCATTGTGTAGACGACAATCAAAATCTCATTTCTGAGAAAGACAAAG